TTTATGTAAACAGTACCTACTATTTGTCATTATTTTCCAAAATTAATCTAGATATTTGGAAGAAATGTCACACTTCAAGATACCTGGAACATCTGAGGCTACTTTAATTCATTTTATTCGATGAAGAAATCTAATCTTTCCACCCTAATCATTTAATTGACATTTTGTAATCGTCAGCTTCCTCATTTGATTGCATAGTCACAACCTTGTTTCTATGGTAAACCTCCATAGCTCCAATTCTTTTGAACCTCCATCCTTGATAAACACTCAAAATATAAGAAAAAGCCACTAATTATTCTAATTTTACATCTTACAGACATCGTAAGACCACATTTTTCTTCTAAAAGTGCTCTCCAGAAAGTAAACCGTAGTATCTCCCCGTCTCACACGACTTTGACAAAGTAATGACCCAATCCATCAAACACGTATTACCTGCCTGTCCACTTTGGGCCTATTCACACAGCTCAGCTCGACGGGGAAGAAACTTCTACCACTTGTAGGTGTATCTAAGGAGGAGAAATTGGGCTTCTTCCTTTAGTCTTTTCTCTCTCGTAGATTACGCCGAGTATGTCTTCCTTGGACTTTTCATGACTGAAATGCTTCTCAAAATGTACGGCCTCGGCTTCCGACTCTACTTCCAGTCGTCGTTCAACATCTTCGACTGTGTCGTAGGTTATCCGCTTGGTCGAGGAAAATACATCTTTGAGTATTTCCCAACATAGGGAGTTTACACTGGAAACATTCGTGAACAACTTGGCTAATTTTGCTATAAGGGTAGCCGATTTTGAAAGTCATTTCACTGTGAAGTGAGGGAAACACTATATAAAGTTGCGAAAATGATCAAATGGTTTTGCACTATTTTCAAGCAAGTGTTTGAACAATTGTTAACAGACGACCTACGAAATGAGCACAGAGCTTTCACATTTTTCTGCCACTTTAGAAAATAATTCCTATTATTTTCATCTAGGAAATAGTTGTGTATTTCAATTGAGGAACTCCTGTAAATGATCTCGTAAACGATTTCATGGGAATCGGTTTTAACTTTCGTCTGGATTTAAGTCAGTTTAACTGAACATTTACCATGCTAAATGGTCTTCATTGGGGATGGAGGTTTGTGGACTTTAACTTGCTACGAATTGTACGAAGAAAGAACCATAACCTAAATAAGTTTAATTTGTTTTTATTCCTTTTAGCAATTATCACAAACATAGGCAACCCAACATTAGTTTCGTTTTTGAACGATTTTTAACAAATAAAAAATAAACCTCCAAATGCAGCAATTCCTGTCTTCATTCAGGTTATCATCGGGAGTCTCTTCGAGATTCTTCTTGCCCTTGTTCAGCCGGACACCTCCTTTGGCATCAGTGTGTTGCGAGCACTGCGACTTCTAAGAATTTTTAAGGTCACCAGGTAGGCAGAGGTTGTTGTTGCTCTCGTGCTTAAGACCTTGGATATCCACTGATTGTCCATACAATCCAAACCTGCCCTTGCAAGCCTTATGCCTAGCAAAATAAAATTATGCGTGACTGCGGCACAGCAATGGGTTTCGGTGTAAAGCATTACGTCTATCCCTTTTTGTGTAGATACTGGGCGGATTTGAGAAATTTGGTGTTATCTTTGCTGAGCTCGATGCGAAGTATCATCTCCCTAGTCTTCCTTCTCTTCCTCTTCATCCTCATCTTCGCTCTCCTTGGAATGCAGCTCTTCGGTGGCGAGTAAGTATCACCCAAGAGTTTTTCATCCGTGACTGTGGGATACCGATTGGTTAGACGCCTTGTTAGACATGGAATGATCTGGTCTGCGCCAAATTATTAAAATGAATATATCATTTGCTCGCATTTAACTGTTTCATGGTTGCAATATCCTACTCCACCACCGAATATGCCACTTTAGGGTGCTGCTATTGCTGTATTCATAAAGCTTTCATTTATTTCAAATTTTAATAATCTGGAAAGTACTGAATAGTGTGCGAATCGTGAAAGATGTGTTTTCTGTCTTTTTACTAGAAGTTGGAGATCTTAGGCGAATGAAGCCAAATTGAAGTACTGTATCTTTTCATCAGTTTCAAATGCAGATAATAGAATTGCTCATTTAGTAAATCATGTTTCTTTTTCTATCAATGACACGTGAATAATAAGCTCTAGAATACATAGAACAGAGAAAAAATTTTACCAAGGAATCTTTAATGACGGAAAAAAGGACGTCTGACGCTTATTTGCGCAGATGCAAAGCCTCAGGTAACGTGACTTAAGCCTTTGAAGTTCCCATCAGCGTAGCTCTGTCAACAGGCTCTCAGACAATTTCTAGGGAATTCAAAACAGAAGACCTCGTGTGTATCTACCTAACCAATGAAATATTTCGATGCTTTACGCCATTTTTTCAAAGAATAGCAAATATTAAAAATATGCATTTTTTGGCTAGCTGATCAAATAGTTTTATAGTGGCTCATATTTAGTTCTGGCTGTACAATTTTTTAACTCACATCCGCATAAACCCTAATTCCTCCATTTCCACTCCCCAAACTCCGTCAAATATTACATTGGTCTGAAATAAATGTGTGGGTATTAGTGCGACTCATTGTGATATTTGAGTAAATTCAACAATCTTTTCACTTTTTGCTAAAAGAAAACGGCTTTTAAATCGAATTTTTAAAAGCACATTGAAAATTTTGAGGGCCTCGGTAACTTTTGGGAAATCACCTTTGTATCATTTTCATGTGCATGACATTAAAGGTCACTTTTGGAGTCGGCATTTAAATCTCAGTTGACACGATAAACCACTCAATCAACACTGCATTCAAATAGTCAGTTCTTTGTGTTTATTTGGATTTGAAATAAAAGCTGGAATTACTATTATGCTTAATGCCAGGATAAAACAATGCGCAAATAAACCCCGAATGTACCTCAGCCAAGGCATGAAAACATGTTTCGGTTTTATTTTAGTGGTCATGTGACATTTTTTAGGCGCAAGGATTTCGGCACTGTAATCTACGTCTTCTTCCTTCATTCGGCCTGTTTCCTATCGTCATGGCTGAGCGGTTGGTCCATGGCGACATGAGTTGCAGATGATGCAAATGAATAAATCGAGGAGACGAGACAATGAATGAAAGCAATGTTAAAATACGATAAAGCACAGTTCAAATTCTGCTCTTTTAATCTTTCATCTGAGTCTATTCGAGAGATGAAACACGGCTTTGTTGAATCCATACAATGTAAAAGTACTCTCATTTTGGGTGACGTATTGGATCTCCATCATCCTGATTGACATACTTTATTTTCTTTAAAACAATCATAAATTCGTTTTTTTTAGATTTAACTTCGAAGAAGGTCTTCCTGCCCAAAACTTCGACTCCTTCGTTAAGGCTCTGCTTACTGTCTTTCAGGTATTCTAATCTACTGGCCATTTGAACAGACCTTTTTTTCACCAAGAACCAACCTGCACACAAAATTTCTAGGTCTCCAAAGGAACGCCATCTGCCTCTTCCCTTCCAAATCAAAGGGAAGCGGCTCCCTAGTTTCGATTTTTACCTAAACTGATAGTGTGAAACCGAGGGATGAGGGTCGGACGGAAAACCGTTCTCTCTAAAAAAAGACATAATTTACCTCCCCCTTTCATAACAGGAAACCATGCCCACTATGGGTCCCTCTGATCATCTGCTCCGCTGCAAAAATGGGATTTTAAAACCCTGTTACCGGTCTCCTTGCCTTTTGAAATGATTATTCTTGAAGAGAATCTTATTTCTTTTCTTTGCTCCCGGTAGATTCTGACAGGCGAGGACTGGAACTCAGTCATGTACAATGGGATTCGCTCTCAGGGTGGAACGAATGGGGGCGGATTCATCTACTGCATCTACTTTGTCCTTTTGGTTCTCATAGGAAACTGTAAGTCGAAGACACAGACTTTGCTCCATTTCCTTCGACTACGCATAGCTGATCGGGTACATTTAGGCGACTCCAAAACGAACGCGGGGTGGATGCTTTTGTCATCTCGTTTCTCGTTTTAGTTGTAAGACAAGCAGATTCGTATCATGACTATATTTTCAGCTAAATACTATCATGATTTGAGAGCTGCTTTCCGATTCACAAATAAGGGAAAATAATTTTTACAGTGGACATCCTTTCAAGATAAAAATTTACATAAAATAATTCCTTTTTAAAAAATATTCTCAATTTATGCCAGTGACTAATATTTTTGGCGATAAGGATGCAGTAAGAAAATATTGCTTATAGATGTCTCTATGAGACACTATGCAAAATGTCTCGAAATTAAAAAAATTGAGTAATTTAGCGGAAGTCGCTCCTTTGAATGAGGTGATCTTTTTATTCACACATGATATCACGGTACTTTAATTGGAAAATTTTAGTTTACGCCGTCAAAGCACTCAAGATTATGAGGGTTACGGGACGAAGCTGGTCTGAAATGCTAGGGTTTATTCGAAATGCGGAATAGGAACTACCAGGATATTGCGGGTAGGCACGGCAAGGTGGGAGTGGATTGCTGGGAAGAGAGAGACAGACCCTCAGTTCTAAGTAACGCAGACTTCCATCTGAACATTTCGTTACACACAGTGAGCCAGAGAGAAATAGTGAAAAATAATGGCAGGAAGAGCTATCATTATCGCGGTAACAGCAGCTTCCAGTACCAGATATGGTTAGATTGAATGCTTTATTTTGACAATCGAGGAGCACGGTCATGGGGGATGGTTATTTTACGTCTAATAGGCCATCCGATAAGTCGGCGTGTTTAGCTCCCTGTTGATTAGGGCGGTGCGCTTCTGCTGGAGACGATAATTGTACCTCTTACAATCGGGGATGACTTCCGGAAGAGACAATTTTATTCTGCGATTTCAAAGGCCATAAGTGTCATTTTTAGGAGGGGAAATTAGCTATCGCATTGGGTTTTCGCTAGTGACGATTTCATTTTAAAATTTTCCGATGACGACCTTTTAACTCTTCCCAAAAATTGAGCTTAATTAAAGGATTGTTTCTGGGGCAAAAGTTCTAATTTATAGAAAGAGGATTTCATGGGAGTTTCGCATATGTGTACGTGGGATTTGTTCTGCTGTTCCAGACACTCTTTTAAATGTATTTTTGGCAATTGCCGTGGACAATCTTGCAAATGCGCACGATCTCAGCGATGCTGAACAGGCAGATCAAAATGAGGAAAAATTGGTATGATTATCTTGTCATCCACATGCTTCATGGTGTTGTGCGTGTCTGTATGTGTACACATGTACGTAGGAACCGTTGTGAGTCCCGTTTAATTCTCCCTTGATTGTTGTTGCTCTAAATTGCTCTTCATAGTGCATTTACGATATGCATGTAAGCAGAATGAAAATTCCAAAATTGTACCAATGTTTGTGGGCCCTTCCCAACGGTATTTAGGAGATCTGACTCTCCGAATTTTATATTTACCAGCGATTATAGCTTGTATCCTAAGAATTCCATTAAATAACTTATGATAGTCCCACGATACATGCTAAAATGGGGTCACTAAAATGTTTTCCCTTCTTAACAGCAAATGGTTACATCATTTAATCGTCAGAAACTCAAAATCACCCATTAAAGGAACTCAAAAATAACGTGGAGTTTGAACTTTGCCCCGTTTATAATGTGATACTATATAATAAATCCGTATTGAGCAAGAGTACCTAGGATACTTTCACTAGTTTATCGCATAAAATTTATGCGGAATTTAATGTGGAGATTATGCACAGAATACTGTCCATGTTACTCATTTTTCTCTCTCAAAAGAGAATATGACGAGATCTGGCGTCAGAAATTACCACTAATCGTTATATTTTTGCAGTGTTAAATTAACTTTGGAAAAAAGACCTCCTCAGAAGACAAAAATGTCGGAATTGTATCGGCTTGTTCTACGGAAACGAAATTTTGGAAACGGAATCCTACTCAAAATGCCGATTTTTTGAACCACTCTCATGCCGATTTATAGCCACCCTCAAGAATCCACAAAGCAAATTTTGCCTCCGTTGGCCGAAAACGTTTGTCAAAGTTTAAATAGTTTACTCGTTAACTTAGCAGTAGCCTTAGAAGGAAGCCTTGCAGGAGTCGGTTTTTTGTCCATTGAGGTCGAAAAAATTGCGCAAGTATCTCGTATACTTAACCATTAATGACATTGAAGGTGATTGTATGCTATCATCTCTTAACTACGAACATCAAAAGGAGGCGTCCTCCTGGGCAAAGTGACGATCCACGTTTTCCACGAATTATCTTTTAGAAGGAGGCCAAGGCGAAGGGATTTCAGCCTTCCACGTTGGATCTCACAGACCCTGATAAGGCTCACCTCCTGCCGTGGGTACGAACACCCACAAAAGAGAAGAATAACCTGTGGCAAGAGAACTATCCTGGGTGGGTCTTCTTCAAAAGACATCGTCTATTTTCTTAACAGTCTAATACATCAAGTGCATTACATTAGGCTTTGGGCGCTTCAGTAATTATTAATTGCTGTCAGTAACTTTCATTATAATAGATATATTTCCAAATCTCCCGTTATGCTGCCTAACCTCTAATTAAAAAAGTAAATGGTAAATTGTCGTTGCTTCTCAAGCATAACCTAAACTTGTGCTTATTTTAACAAATCAAATTTTTTTTGCTATTTAATCAAGAGACTCGACCAATGTGAAAGAAATGACTCTACAAGTGGGCGATCAAAAGGCAAATGGAAATTTTCTCTCCTCCTCACTCTCCACGCAAAGTGAGTACGTAAATAAGTATGCGAAGTAGGCAAGTTGAGCCTAAAAGGAGAATTTTCGTTTAGTGGATTTCCACAATTTTTGATGGTCAGCGGTATTCAACGTCTTACTATGTCGTCTCATCCATCCTATTTTTGTATTTGGCATTAGGGAAAGGACAAAATTGCATTTCCTTTGAAAGCGACGAGACAGGGCAGTTACCGGACTCTGAGAATGTCGGACATGGAAAACCCGTTCTACCCTATAGTTCCATGTTCATCTTTGCCCCGACCAATGGGTAAGCCTGTGGTTTTTATCAAAATCAAAGGATGCTTTGTGGCAGGAAATGATACACCACAAATAAAACCTTAAATTATCTTCTAAATTAGCACTTAGTGGACGATAAAATGATTTTGTAAAAATCCGATTTTGTATTTAAAGGAGGAAATTTAGGTGAGCTTTGATTCTTCCACTTCTAACTAAGTGAGCAGTCTGGTCATTACGCCAGTCCTTTGACAAAAAACCATTCGCTTGAAAGGTGAAAGTGTCGAGCTTCACATCAGAGAACGCTCTGTGCACATAAAAAGGTACTTGAAAGTGAGGGCCTGAAACAAGAGAATTTGGGAAAAATCAACTTCTGCACGCAATCAGAAGTAGCTACAAAAGTCTGTGAAGATGGTAATTTGAAGTGGCCAGATAGGCACTGTTTTTGTTTCTTGGCATGTCCCTCTCAGATCCGTCTAGACAATTGTGCCACAAATGAAGTGAAAACTGACTGCTTATTCATAAATCCGAATTACAGAAGTCAGAATATCGACTCAGGGTTCAATATAGCGACATCAACAGCTCATTAAAAGTTTGCTGATGGACTTTCAGCAAAGTGATGTTTTTGTGACCCAGTAGGCGGGGAACCTAGCTCCAGTTAACCGTTTGAGAAAGTAGAAATGCAATATGATCATACATTCTTAGTTATAACTTGACTCCCAGTGATTTTTAATACACCAATAATTCAAGAGCTTCAAATCAACCAAGGAAGGCACTTAACAGGAAAGTTTGCCAACGGTGTCACATGTAGGTGGGGTTCCTACTTTCACCCATGGCACGTTTATTTAAAGGAAATGAAAAATTGGAAAGGAACAACAAAATTCAAAAATAGGTATGATGTTGGCAACAGCAAATCTATCTGGCCTGCATCATCTTGGCTCCTGCAAGAGGGGCGGATAAAAGTGGTTGCATGGGATTGAGTTACGACAGAACAACAAAACCCTCCCAACCAAAAGGAACTTTCTTCCTGTCAAACATCTGAACCAGGAAAAGCGCACGCGTTTTAATGAAAAAAATTGCGTTAGAGTGAGCACACAAATGCGTCTCCGGACTTTTAATGAAGTGTATTTTGTCGAAAATGGCAGTGGATAAAAAAAGTGGAATAGACCCAGACCTCCCAACCTCTATATTCAAAGCGAAGAGGGAAGCATCCTCCCAGGTGAAGGACTGGCAGCAGTAATGGCTGCGGGGTTGGTGGGTGCTCGTCTAGACGCATCCAAAAAAATCAATAGTGGTGTGGTGACAAGCCTTCTCACAGGCCGACACACGCCATCTGCTTGCGAACCATCTGTTTGCGACGCGAGCTGAGCGCCTCCACACATTATTAAATGCTCGGACATTAGCACCTACTGCGCCACCATCTCCAGGCCTATGTGCGATTTAGGGTTCGTTTGTAGCCACCGCCGATTTCGCGTTTATGATTATTTCTACACAAAAAGCATCTCCATCTGCCTACATTTCGTTTTAGGTTAATTTCGGGTCAAAAATGTTTGAGATGGTCTTATTTTTCCTCAAAAAAAAATATTAATTTGCTGTTTTTTGTTAAAATTAGTTTATCTTCAAGTAATTGCTATTGCTGAGAAAGCGTTGCCCTTATATTCTTAATTTTGGGTAGAATTGCGTTTGTGGAGGCTTTATGTGATTACGATTTATGAGGACTGTTTGGAAGTTAAAATGCGAAGAGCATTAAGCCATAAAATGGATTAAAATGTCCTAAAACCGTCCTAACTACAATGGAAACTCGTCCATTGAGCTCAAAGAGTTCTTTTGGGATTCCTCTGGAATTGCTCGAGACGAGAAATGTTTTTCATACTCTGTTATTTGACCTTCTTTAACGATGAAATACGATACCGACACATCAGAATCCTTGTATACCTAAAATTTGCTTTTGTGGGATTATCCGATGGTAGTTGTAGAGCTAAGGACCGTTAATCAGAAAACAGCTTTAGATTGTCGTAAGTTTATGTTTACTTTTCTATATTTTATGGCAAGTAGTGCGATTGCGGACGATAATTGTAAATCATAGTAGAAAAGTCTTCATTACCAGACATAATTTAACTTCAGTTTTAGTTCAACAGGTTCTTCTGAAGTAAAATTATACAGTGTTTCAACGCTTTTGTTTGTCGAGCATTTATGCAGTTTGGGAAACTACCCTAACTATTGTTTGCAGACTGGGTCAAATTAATTAAATAGACTTGAATGAATAAAATAAGTGAGTTTAACCAACTGAGCTATAATGACCAAAAAAATCTATACTTTTTACCAGAAAATCTCAAATTACGATCCAAGGAGGGCAATTATAGAAGGAATGTTTTTAGCAAATTCATCATTTCTTAAGGATTGAGTATCTGAAGCATGCTCACGAATATTAAAGCTAGAACCGGGCATCAGTTTTATGATAATGCCACTTCTCATTAGAATCCAAACAACGCATTTTTTGTATTTAATGGGATGTGTCATCGGCTAAATCATGCTGGAAGTAGCGCTTAAATAAATTTCTCATTCAGTTTAAGAAGTACTTCTGAAGGCAGTCATTGTTAAGTGCAACTGCTCCCCCAAAGACACTGACTCAATGTGATGGCAATCTCCTGTGAAGGTGAAAAATGAAATCCCAGTAAAGGTTTAATTATGCCTTTTTACTTCACAGAATTCGTCGCTTTTGCCACTTTGTGGTCAATCTTCGCTACTTTGATCTCTTCATTATGATCGTGATTTGCGCCAGCAGTATCGCGCTTGCTGCAGAAGATCCTGTTGCCGAAAACTCCACCAAAAACAAGATCCTCGAGCACTTCGACTACGCCTTCACAGGTGTCTTCACTGTAGAAATGGTTCTCAAGGTAATCTTGAAAGTGTACTATCAAAAGGAAGTTTGAAGTGCGTAGGATGGTACTTAGGGCAGCGACTATTAAAATCAGATGTCTTAAATGAAGAAAGTTCCAACCCTGAATTTCCTTTCAATTTGCGCTTTTATGTCTGGATGTGGCAATTTTATTGCTAGATGTACCAAAAATAGAAACAAACCACTTTTATATTCAAAACTACTTGCATAAATAGCCATCTAAATGGTAGAAGAGACCAATGCTGCTTTGGGTACCATTTTTTAGTCGGCCAAGGAATTTTGATACACCTTTTTCTGAAATTCTCGTTGGTAATTTGGACATTAATGCACCCTCCAAGAGACAGCAGATTATTTTAAATCCTTTTTTTGTATCAGGTGATTGATTTGGGCGTAGTGCTCCACCCGGGCGCTTATTGTCGCGATCCCTGGAACATTCTCGACGCCATCGTCGTCTTCTGTGCTCTAGTGGCTTTTACGATGAAGTGAGCACCTCCCCAAGCTAACTAAATTCTACTCGCGAACAGCGGTGTTAGCAACGAGGAAATCGCATATGAATAACTTAGAGAGAGGGAGGGAGCAAGAGATGTTCACTACCTTCTACTCATTAATAATGTATTCCAAGTACCATTTCACCATATCTAAACACTAACGCATTTCCATTTTCTTTTGCCCCTTTTAATTATAGCCGAAACGCGCTTCGACTGGGGTAAGTACTTCCTGGCTTGAATGCTAAAATGCCCACTTCTTCGACCGTTACCGCTTCTGTTGCTGTTTCTCCAGCTGCCTCCTTTTTTGCCTCCATTTGCTCCATCCCCTGTGGGGGCTATTTGTATTCGTTGTCTGTTTGCCTTAAAGGCTTAACTGTCGCATACATATGGGGACCATTATGGGGAGCTCTATAATTGAGCTTACAGGAGAAGTAACTCATGCACTCACATCAAAGTCACCTGAGGGTGTTGCGCCTTCCGATTCGAGCGCACATCGATCGATTCTTTGTACCCTAGGTTATTGATTTTCTGGACCTCAAGGCCTTACGTTATGGAAACAACCCAAAATAAACAATTTTAGCGTCAGCTCATTTTGTAAACAATTTAACCCTTCAATAATTAGGATTAAGAGTAGTAAAATAGGACACATCCTGCCTAAAGTCACACTAGGTACCAAATTTTCCATCATACGGACCTGTCGCTAATGCAGGCTACACCAGGGATGGCCTCAGCACTGACGATAAGGCGCGTTTAGTATATTCACTTGATGAACCACCGAAAATGGCTTCCTTTCCATGAACATACTATTCATAACTCAGCTGTATCTGTGGCGACAATTTTGTTTTTCCATTAATGGACGCAAGGAGTTGGAAAAGCAAATGGTTTTAATGCTAAGAGGAAAGTGGGGTTTTTTAATAGAGCTTGGATAAATGCAGACAACTCTTGCGTGAATTTTGTTTACCGGGATAGTCAAGGTT